AATTTAGCACGGCCAATCCACCCTAACCTGCACATCCCTGGGCACTATGGGATAATTTAGCACGGTGAATCCACCCTAACCTGCACATCCCTGCACACTATGGGATAATTTAACATGGTCAATCCACCCTAACCTGCACATCTTTGGACTGTGGCAGCAAACCGGAGCACCCAGAGGAAACCCGCACAGACGTGGCGAACTCCACACAGTCGCCCAAAGGTGTGATTGAACCTGGGTTTCTGGTGCTGTGAGGCAGCAGTGCTAACCTAGGCCAGGGAATTTTTTTTAATGGATTTATGTCGACTTGCTATGCTCAGATTCCCCGCTGCATTCTGAAAGGTCAAGTCACTATAGTCCCAATCTCTCATCAGAGAGAGAGAGAGAGAGAGAGAGAGAGAGAGAGAGAGAGATGACTGGTGGTGAGTTTGATTTGATTTGATTTATTGTTGCCACATGCACCAAGATACAGTGAAAAGTATTGTTTTGCACGCTAACCAGACAAATTATAGCTTACATCAGTACATCAGGATCATAGAGCAGCATGCAGAATACAGTGTTGCAGCTACAGAGAAGGTGCAGAGAAAGATCAACTCTAATATATGAGAGATCCATTCATAAGTCTGATAACAGCAGGGAAGAAGCTTTCTTGAATCTCTTAGTACACATCTTCGAACTTTTATATCTTCTGCCCAACGGAAGAGGGTGGAAGTGAGTAAAACCAGGGTGGGAGGGGTCTTTGATAATATTGGCTACTTTTGATTTGATTTATTGTTGTTATCTACATACAGTGAAAAGCTTTGTTTTGGAGCAGTACAGGCAGATCATAGTAAACAAGGACATACAGATCAGAAGGGGCTTAGACAGAGCGAGGCATACAAGGTTACGACTGTACAGGAGCTACACAAAGCAAGATCAACATTAGATTTAAAATTACAGAGGTCCATTTAGAAGTCTAATAACAACAGGGAAGAAGCTGTTCTTGAACTTGTTGGTACATGTGTTTAAGCTTTTGTATCTTCTGCCTGACAGAAGAGGTTGGAAGAGAGTATTACCGGCGTGCAAAGCGTCTTTATGATGTTGGCTGCCTTTCGCAAGGCAGTGAGAAGTTTAAACCGAGTCCATGGATGGAAAGTTGGCTTCCGTGATGGTCTGGGCTGTGTTCACCACCTTCTGTAGTTTCTTATGGTCCTGGGCAGAGCAGTTGCCATACCAGGCCGTTATCCAACTGGACAGTATGCTTTCAATGGCGCAACTGCAGAAGTTGGTGAGGGTCCTTATGGACATGCCGAGTTTCCTGAGCCACCCGAGGAAGAAGAGGAGTCATTGTACCTTCTTGACTGTCACATCTACGTGGGAGGTCCAGGACAGATTGTCGGTTATTGTCACTCCTAGGAACTTGACACTCTCCACCCTCTCAACATAAGCTCCATTGATGTGTCTTCCACCTTTGTTCCTGACGTCGATGATCAGTTCTTTAGTTTTGCTGACATTGAGAGAGAGATTGTTCTCATTGTACCACATCACCAAGCCCTCTATTTCCTTCCTGTATTGTTTCATCATTGTTTGATACCTGGCCAACAACGGTGGGGTTGTCAGCAAACTTGTGGATGGTGTTTGGATGAAATTTGACCACACAGTTGCATACAACTCAGTTACAGGAAGGATATTAAGCTAAAGAGGGTTTACAATAGATTTACCAGAATGTTTCTGGGAATGGAGGGTTTGAGTTATAAGGGGAGGCTGGGTAGGCTGGGACTTTTTTCACTGTGGCATAGGAGGTTGAGAGGTGTCCTTATAGAAACATGAGGGGTATAGATAAGGTGAATGGCAGATGTCTTTTCCCTAGGGTGGGGGATTGCAAGACTAGGGGGTATGTTTTTAAGGTGAGAGGAGAGAAATTTAAAAAAAGACACGAGGGGCAACTTTTTTTTACAGAGAGTGGTTCGTCTGTGGAATGAACTTCCTGAGGAAGCGGTGGATGTGGATACAGTTACAACATTTAAAAGACATTTGCATAAGTACATGAATAGGGAATGTTTGGAGGGAGATGGGTCAGGCACAGGCAGGTGGGACTAGTTTAGTTTGGGATTATGGTGGCAATGGACTGGTTAGGCTGAAGGGTCTGTTTCCATGCTGTATGACTGTACGAAGGGCGAGACGTTTGGAGGGAATTCAAGGAAATTTTTCTCACCCAGAGGGTGGTGGAGGTCTTGAAAGCGCTGCCTGGAGGAGTCACAAGGGAGAAGGAGAGAGAGAGAGAGGAGGAGAGAGGAGAGGACTTACAGAAGGAAGGAGAGAGATAGAGGGAGAGGACCTACAGAGGGAAGGAGAGAGA